GACACCCCCTCCAAGACTCACGGCGCGGACGCCACCGCCACTGCCCTCCTGCTGAAGACCATCTACAGCCTTAGCCTGCCGCTCCACACGACCACCTGCAGGGGTACGGCCCGCGCGGGTGGCCAGCCCGTCAAGTCGGGCTTACTGATCAAGACCTTAGACATGATGGCTGTCCTCAAGGTGCAGGGGCTTGCTTTGGGGGGTCGCGCGCAGGTGGCGGGATGGGAATAGCGAATGATCGATTGACTGACACAAAGAGCCCACTACGCCTGGGTTGTTGCAAAGCGTTGCGACCCTGGCTCGCTCACGCTGACCTCGCTCACGCGGCTTGCTTGCCGGCTCCGCCATCCGGCATGCAGGCCGCGCCGCGCAAGGCCGGCGAGGTGTCCAAGGTCCAGCTGCTGCTGGCCGAACGACAACTGCCACCAACTGCTCCATGTCCGAGGCCGAGTGCGCCGCCCCCGCGACCAGCGCCGCCCCCGCGGCGCTGGAGGTGGCCCCCCTGCCACGCGGCCGCGGCAAGACCCCCGTCGCTCATGCCCGCCCCGCGCGCTCCCCCCGCCCCGGCCAGCACCCGGCGTGGGGCCGCCTGGCGGGCGCGCTGCTGCTGGCCGTGTGCGGCCTCGCGACCGTCGCCGTCGCCCTGCTGCACTGAGTTGCACCTGGTCCGTCTTTTGGCCCCCCATGGGTCTTGTCAACGCAAGCCCCACCAAGAATCCCGAGCAGGTGTTGCCTGCATCATGAGCACATGACCGCGCCCCCCCCCTCAAATAAAGAGCTACCAACCAACCAAGAACGACCGTTCTTGGTTGGTCGCCACTGCTTGTGGCTCACAGGCACCAGGCCGCACGTCTGCGCACCGTGCGCCTCGCCTCCTGGCATCCCCACCTCAAGCTGCGCCTGGCAACCATGTTGTCCCTGGCTGCCAAACCCTGACCCCTTTGAAGCAAGCCCAGGCCATCAGACCCTGGCCTCTCGCTGCACCGCTCAACACCAGTCGCACAGCCGGCCGTCAAAGCGGCAAACGCCATATGCGCGCTGCAACCTGCGCGCTGCACGCGGCTTGCGATTGGCACGAGTTGGCTATCAGCAGATGGTGGGCGCCACAGTGCTGATGCCTTTGGCGTTCTCAAGAGACTTCTGCACTCCGGTTGTTTTTGCCTTGCAGCCACCATCTCGCCTCGCCTGTCCTTGACCTGCTCGAGACTCGCACGCGTCCCTTGGCCCAAGCAAAGCTGAGTGCTGAGCCGCCCTACATCGTTTTATGCAAGCCGTGAATAAAGCGCGCCATCGCTGCGCACACCGGCAGCATCGTTTTTGGGAGCAGAAACAGCTGGACCGGCGCCTGCTGGCTTCTGCGGTACGGCCTGCCCAGCACTGCAACCTGCGCCCCCTGCGCACTGGTTGCGTCCATCAGGGCATGGTTTTTCCATTGGTTGCGATCTGCCGCCTCGTCACCCCAGCAGCAGCTTCCTTGCAGGTGCACCGCTCGCTGGTACTCAAAACAAGCACGGCCTGCTGACGAACAGCTCCCGCCGCGTCCCTCAAAACACACTCGTGACGCGACACTCACTCGCCTCAACCAACCACGGCAACGCCCACTGTGCCTTGCGCTGGCCCCTGGGATCTGTCTGACGGCCGCCCCTGCGCCCCCGTGTTGACTGCCACCGCCCTTGCACCTTCTTTGCTCTGGAAACTTTGGTCTGAGCTTCCCTGCGTGCCAGCACTTTGCCTCTCTTGCGTGACCTCCTTCATGGGTCGAGCTGACAGACTTTGGGACCCCAACACGTTTGACTTTTTGCCTCAAACACTCATCTTTGCGCCGCATGCGCCTGCAGAATGGAGACAACCAAGGTCTTTGACAGCCCCGAGGAATGGGGTCGCCGTCGGCCGCGACACCTCACCCTTTTTCAAGGCCTTCCTTATCACGCATCGGCGGGCGTTTGTCAGCCCCCTGGCAGCTTAGGCGCTGTGACACGCGCCCGCCGCGCGTCGTTGGGGTCTTGCCTGGGAGGGTTCGCACCGCGGTCTGTCGTGCGAGTCGTGTTTGTTCACCACACTCACGTCCAGGCAGCAAACCCAACCGCTGTTATTTGTGCAGCGCGACGCCGCATCCGCCTCTTTTTTGACCAGATTAGGACCTTTCGACGCCTTGAGCGCGTTTGCAAGGGTTGAGCAGCGCGTTTGCAAGGTGCGTGTGACGTTATTGTGCCGTATGGACCAGGCGCAGCTCTCATGTAACGCTGCAACTTGTTAAGAAGGCACCACAAATTGGCTAGTGAGTCTTGACAGATTACCGTAGCGCAAGGGGTCGGCGGCACTGACAGGGCCAGGGTGGCAGCAAGCGCTTCATGATGTTGAGGTTCTAGAATATTTTGGGCCAGCAACAGACTGCCACAAGCTGTAGTCGAAGGACTGAAGTTTGTACATGCATGAAAGGTGACGGCAGCAGCTCCATACAGTACTTGTTGAGTCGACTCTGAGCGCCGGTCAAATTGGGCAGCAACAAATGTGAGGCGCTGCATCACGTTTTCAGAGATGCGCATTTGCTACGTTGGTATCGGTGGTGAAGTACCCTGACAATATCGGGGCAGCGGCGTGGTGGCTGGGTGACGGCGGCGACATATCGCTCGTCACCGCCCCCGCGACGCCGTACCAGACCACCAGAGTATAGTGCACATCCCGTCTTTATTTCACTTGAACCACTGCAGTCTGACGTTACCGACCCCCGACCCAGGCGGGCAGAACACCTGCCAGCTGCCACCGGTGTGTGCCAATATTTTCAGCGCCCTGCAAGCACAACATCATTTCAAAAGTCTACTACAGTCATTCACAGAACAAATCGTTGGGCGCTCATTATCTGATCTACACGGGTGTGGAATCCCGGCCAAGTTCTTGAAGCTGTCCTGAAAGGGCGGGTCCGCGTGTTGCTGAGCGAGTGCTCTGTGCGCTCTTTATGCGAGCCAAGCTATACTTTTGAAGGGCACGAAACTGCAGAAGCTCGAGCTGGCCTGCATGCGGTGACTCGGCAGCGCCAGCGCGGTGTGCAGTGATGCAGCCGTGGGACGACACAGCGTCTTTCACAGGGGACTCACCCTGGACCTGGACGCCAGAGCCCGCTAGGCAGCCACTCAGCCATGGCGCGCGGCGCACGTTTGTTGCGGGTCTGGTGGTGTCTGGCGTTGCCATCGCCACCCTCACCAAAATCGGTGGGTGGCGCCTGGTGCACGAGGCCTGCCCCCCGGCATCAACGGGGCCTGCGGCGGCTGAAGTGTGCATGGACATGCCCCAGAAGCTGAGCGCGTGCGTACAAACGCCACGCGTGCACGCGCATGCGCACGCACGCGCACCTACAAACACACACACACACACATACACACACACACACACACACACACACACGCGCGTGCGCGCACGCGCACGCGTGCACACATACACACACACGCGCGCATGCACACACACACGCACACGCACGCGTGCACACACACATACACACACGCGCGCGCACACACACGCGCGCGCACACACACACACGCGCACACGCACACACACACACACACACACACAATGCTGCCCTTCCTGGCTTGCCTGACTTCCCCGCCTGCTCTCCACCACGTTGTGCCCCTCGTGCTGGCCCCCATGCACCCTCAAATGTGCTCGCAGCTTACCAGACCGAGTCCGTCGGCCGCGACGGCTACGTCCACGCGTTCCAGAAGCCCTGGTTCTTCGTGCTCGTCATGTTTGTGGGTGAGGGCAAGGAGGGCCACGCCAAAGCGCAGGGGCAGTGCGATATCCCTTGGTGCCGCACCCGCCGCGGCAGCGGGGTGGCAGCTCGCGCTGGCCAGGTGTGCCGCCCCTCAACACGAGTCGGTGTGTGATGGCATCAGCAAGGGCTCTACCATCGACGGCGCTCAGGGGTTCCTGGTATGATGAGCGCCAGCTCACTGACCCATCTTCACCCAGCACAACCCCAGGTTCGGGCCCACCCCCACCCATCCCATCGCCGCAGGCATGTCCCTGTGCCTGCCGGCATCCCTCGCCCTGAACATCGCCCGCAGCGGCTGCGGCTGCGGAAAGCCCAAACCGGCGGCCGCGGCGGCAGTCCAGCGGCAGATGAGCGGGCGAGCCCTGGACGCTCCGCTGTTGGACCATCTGCTGGATGCCGAAGAGGTGTGTGTTTGTGTATGTGCCTGAGTGAGCACGCTTGATTTTGGGCGTGTCCAGCTGCTTCATGCGGATCACTGGTCGTCACCTACGCTTTTGCTGCAAGCATAGGGTTTGGCTGCTACTGAACGGGCTGGGATTCAACCTGTAGGTGGAACATAGTGCCAAAATCACTGCACAGGCTTGCATCATACCCAGGCGTGGATGCTGTACCTGGTGCTGAAGGGCCACACCCTTGTCATCTTCCTTGCGCCCCACCCCCGCAGTACTACCCTCCCAGTGTGGCGCCCAGCCTGGTGTACGCGTGGCACTTCACCAGCATAGAGCAGCAGCTGCTGCACCTGCTGCTGCCGACACTGTTTGACCTGGCAGGCGCGACGGGTTTGCGTGTGGCCGGGGGGTCACAGAGGGGTTGGTCGGCTTGATGACTGCATGCGTAGCAGCTTGCAGAGGCTCTGAGCACAAAGGACAATTTAGTTTCACGTGCGGATGTCATACATGGGTTTGTGGAGCTGATGGGACCAGGACAACGCTCCCGTCATGATGTGTGCCCTGTGGCGCTGCGTGCCCACCCACGCGCACCTGCGCAACCGCGCGCACGCTCGCCACCGCAGTCAGCGCGATGCTGAACATTGGGCTGGTGTTTGTCAGCGCCAGCGCCTCCCAGATGCTGCGCCAGTCGCTGCTGCTGTTTGCGACGGCGCTGGCGGTGGTGGTGTACCGCAAGCCGCTCAATGGGCTGCACTACATGGGCCTCGCGCTGTGCCTGGTGAGCCTTGCATTTGCTGGCTGGATTGAATACACAGTACGGTACGCAGCCCAGCTGATCAACACATCATCTTTGCAGGTTGTATTCAGCCGCAGCTTGGGCAGGCCACAATCTGTGACCGGGGTTCACTTGGCCCCGCGCGGGCCGTGGCACCCGGTCTCGTCATCCTTCGTGCTTACTCACCGCATATCGCGGCTCCACAGGCCGGCCTCGGGGTGGTCACAACCACCAGCCTTGTCAGCGGCTTTGGCGGCAGATGGGAGCTCGCGCCCTCCCCGTCAGCACCCTCTGGTTCCCTGCCGCGCGGCCCCGGCGGCGGCGCCGACACTGAAGCCGTCGGCCTGTTTTGGGGGCTGGGCGGGAGCATGGGGAAGGGCGGTGGGGCACCTGCGGGGCCTGTGCAGCCGTCGTGGCAGGGGTGGTGGGCCGTGGAGGACGCGCAGCAGATGGGGGTGGGCATCAGCCTGATCGTGGCCAGCCAGGCGCTGCAGGCGCTGCAGATGTGGATGGAGCGGGAGCAGCGGTGGCGCGAGGAGCGGACACAACGGCTGTCCCCGCTCGGGGTGGCGGGGTGCGAGGGCGTCATCGGGCTCGCGCTGACGGTGCGGGTGACGGCGACAGGGGGCATCTGGGCACAGCCTTGTGAATGTGCTGGGGGCGAATCACACGCCACTCCTGGCCAGTGCAGCAGCCTCCTGTAGGTGGAGGCGTGGCAGCGTTGCTGCGCTCGTCTCTTGGGCGTCTGCACCTGCGTGGAACCTCAGCTCTGCACTGGTTGGTCGTATGTTCTTGGCCCTCGCGGCCCCTGGGGCCTGCAGTTTGTTTCCAGGAAGCCGCCACATGCATCATTCACTCGCCGCGCCCCCTCTCCCAGGCTTTTGTGGCGCTGCCTATGCTGGCCCACGGGCCGGGGGCCGAGGGCTTTGGGCTGCGGGAGGACACGCTGGACAGCCTGCTGTGCATCTGGCACTCAGGGGCCCTCAAGGTGGGGCGCGGTGCTCGCAGCAGCACCGGCGCGCTCGACGGCTGACGCCGGTGTGGGTTGTAGGCCGGGTACGACGTCCCTTGCATCTGCCAGTGCTTGCTGGGTACATGCATACGTGCACAGACATGCACACATACACACACACACACACACACGCGCGCGCGCGCACGCACGCACGCACGCATGCATGTGCACACACCCACACACATTCATTTAATTGCACGCTTGCCGCCACTGCAGGCCCTGCTTGTCGCGCAATTGGTGTCGATGCTGCTCTTCAACGGCTGCATGATGGTTGTGGCAGGTCAGCCGGGCTGCAGGCAGCAACTTTCTGGGAAGCCGCTCCCACAGTGACTGTTTGGGTGGTCCCAACGGCTGACGCCACACGTATGCATGTGCATGCACGGCCTGCAACGGCTTGCCAGGGCTGCTGGGCGCACTTTTTGACCCCTGAAGTGCCGATTTGTCATCACATCTGGCCCTTCCTTCCTTCCCTCCCTCCTTCCATCCATTCATCTGTCCCTCCATGCCCGCGCTTGCGTCCCCCGTTCTCCCGACCCTCACACAAACACAGGCGAGCTGGACATGACGCGGACCACCCTGCTGCAGGCCATCCGCACCCTCCTTGTCTGGACCGCCAACGTCCTCCTCCACCTGCTGGGCCCGCCCCACCTGGGCGAGCCCCTCGAGGCCTGGAGCCTGCTGCAGGCCGCCGGCTTCGCGGCAGCTGCCATCGGGGCCATCCTGTACGCTAGAGGGGACGAGGAGCGCGCGCGCCAGAGCCTGCAGCTTGAGGCGGCCCTGATCATGCTCGACCAGCCGCCGCCGGACCCCTCGTCGGCCGCCGGCTCGATATACAGCGTCCCCGCCTGGCGCGCACCCCCCGCGCCCGCGCCGTCGGCGCCGCCGGCACCGCCACCGCCGGCGGGCGCGTGGCGGG